CTGTTTTTAGAGATTTATTTCCAATATCTGTGGAAATGATATATAATTTCTCAATTGTTTCCTTGCCCAAATTTTCTAATTCCTTCCTCATTCAATATTTAGATTACTGAATTGTGAAACCAAAAATTAAGGCATAGTGGAATCTCATTTAGTTTCACAATTTACCAACTGATGGCCCCAGTGCCTTAATTATTTTAAAGAAAATCCAGACATGATTTCATCAGTAAATTAATGATGTACTTTATAAGACAGATCTACTCTTTGTAGCTATATTATACTGAAAAAGAACCTGGTATGATTGATTTTGCTTTAAGTAGTTGTATAATTTTAGTAGGATAAGTGAAGTCTGTAATTAATATTTATCTTTTATTTTGATACACAGGTATCCAGCTCTTATGTAAAATGGATGTTTCTCACACTTAATATTGAATATTAAGTAGATAATCTGTTTAGTAAAATCTAAGCTGCCATGGAGGAAATACCAATAAAAGTTGCTGTAAGAGTTAGACCTCTGCTTTGCAAAGAAGTTCTTCATAATCATCAAGTTTGTGTGAGAATTGTTCCAAACACCCAGCAAATTATCATTGGGAAGGATAGAGTCTTTACTTTTGACTTCGTTTTTGGCAAAAATTCCACTCAAGATGAAGTTTATAGTACATGTGTAAAGCCGCTGGTGCTGTCACTCATTGAGGGCTATAATGCAACTGTTTTTGCCTATGGACAAACTGGATCTGGGAAGACATACACCATTGGAGGAGGCCATGTTGGTAAGATTCTCAACTCACACTCTCTCTCTCTCTCTCTCTGTCTCTCTCTCTCTGTCTCTCTTTTGGTGAGCTATGTCCCTGGCCCCAAGATTCACAACTCTTGAACTCAATTTTGAGACATCTAAAGAAGCTAAAATGTGGTAATGCCTGACATGTAGTAAGTAGGTGTTTAGCATATTGATCAAATAATGAAAGAATGAAGAAATCAAATGTGATAAGATCATAACCTTTGAAAGACTTGTCTTTAAGTATTGCAGTTTCAGAGCCAGTGATATATTGCAGTGGACTAAGCATCTGCTTAGGCAAGTGCAGCGTCTGCTTAGGCAAGCGCAGGGACTAGGGTTCAATCCTCGGCACCATATGCCACACCAACCCTGTCCCATGCGTGCTGAGCCCACACTACCGGGTGTGGTGGCACACATCTGTAATCCCAGTGCTGGGGAGGCTGAAATCAGGAGGATCACTATGAGTCTGAGTTGCATAGTGAGACCCTGTACCAAGTACATAAATATTAGAATTTCATTAAATAATCTAATTTATGATTTTTGATTTTTTTTTTTCTTGAGGAAAAAAGTTTAAGAGGCTGGGATATAGCTCAGCAGCAGAGCACCTGCATGGCAATTACAAGGTCCTGAGTTTGATTCCCGATACAAAAGAAGAAAAGGAAGTTTAAGATAATATTTAGTGGTCAATGCTTGTTATTTTGAACAGAATTTAAAATAGATGTAAATGAATTGACATATTTATATTTGTATCCTTTATTAAGCTAGTTGTATATATTAAGGGTCTTGCAACCAGGGTTTAGGGGCAAAAGGAGAAATTGATTATGTAGTTTAGTGCCTTTTTTTCTTGTTGTATTTTTATTTTATTTTGAAGTTTGGAAAAGTAGAGCCATGGGATTTCCTGTAGGGCAGGCGGGAACCTTGGTACTCATTTTTCTTAGTTGCTAAATAAGGCACTCCAGCCATGGAGGGAAGAGATGGTTCAGCTAGGCAACTGGGAAGGAGGGGGGCCTGAAAGCCAAGATGCCGGTGGAGATTGTGTAGTGTATTGCTTTGCCCTGTTCTTCTTTCCTTCTTTTCCTTTTCTTTCCACACTGTGCAAACACTCAACCACTGAGCCCCCTCCCATGCTTGTGTTTTTCTGCTAAAAGCAAAGATTTCTTTCACAGTAAGGAAGAGTACGTTTGGGATTATTCTAGTAAGTATTATTCTTTTTAGGAGGTCTGAAATTTGGCTTTTAAAACGTTATAAGTTA